AAGGATCGCTGGAGCCCAGCAGGTTGAGGCTGTGGTGGCTGGGAGCGTGCCACTGCACTCTAGTCTGGGCGACAGAGTGAGATTTCAACTCAAAAGAAAAAAAAATAGTTACTTCTACAAAAGAGGGATTAGCTGTAGGAGGACACTGGGGTGGGGGAGGGAGTGGGGAGGGAGGGCACATAACATCAATAAGGGTACCTGATCCCAAGCCAAGCAAAGTGGGGACCTAAGGGAGGCCCAAACTTCACCTGTACCTAGACCACTTATATAGGCAATCCTGATTTGTATCCCACATTTAAAAAATGTAAACAAAAAATAAATACATAAAGAAAATAGTTACTTCATTCAAGGCTTTATTTTGACATTCTCTTAGGTATTTGCTAAACATCATTTACATGCAGAGAACTGCATTAGGCACTCTAGTGGCTGCAAAGATGAGTTGGGCAGAGTGCCTGATTCTAAGGAGTTCCCTATCTAATCAAGCAAGACAGTACTGTGCACAAGAAATATAAAATAGTAATTGAATCGGTCTGGGGATAGAAGTAATGCTGTATGGTAGGAGGATAGACTTTACATTGCAAACTGGAACACTAGGGAATTGGTGTCACTTTTGAGTTCTATTCAAATTGCACATCTAAAGGTGGAGAGTCTTTTTTGGATAAGAAGAAGTGTGGTTGTGGGTGCAGTGTGTGAGGAGTTGGGAGGCTGGGTTCTGGTGGAGGCATGTTTGATTAGCTGACTCTTCCATTCCTGTTTTCCAGAGCCTGGTATACATGTGGGGGGACATGCTGAGCAATGTGGGAGCCGCTGAGAAGGTGTTTTCCTACCTGGACCGACAACCAAATCTGCCTCCACCAGGAGAATTGGCCCCTGCCATTCTACAAGGGCTTGTGGAATTTCAAGATGTTTCCTTCGCATATCCCAATCGCCCTGACCAGCCTGTGCTCATGGTGCTTGAAGGAAGCCACAGGGAGGGAACTTGAACCTCTTGCTTTCTGCTGCTTCACAGCCTGTAGACCATTTGCCTCTGAGGATCTTGAAGGAGAGAGGTAGCCCCTCACTCTTTCCTGGTTTTCTAGGGGCTGACATTTACCCTCCGTCCTGGTGAAGTGACGGCGCTGGTGGGACCCAATGGGTCTGGGAAGAGCACGGTGGCTGCCCTGCTGCAGAATCTGTACCAGCCCACTGGGGGACAGGTGCTGCTGGATGGAGAGCCCATCTCAAACTATGAGCACCACTACCTGCACAACCAGGTGGGTGTGGAAGGAGAAGAGGGATGGGGACAGGAGAGAGGAACATGTGCAGAGAGGTTGGGAGATCCATGGGACCAGGCACCAGGGCTCCATTCTGAGGGAGACAGGAGAGGAAGAAAGGAAGGCCCCACCATGGGGGTTTACACACTGTCCTCTGCTTCTGTCGCCTCTGCACAGGTGGCTTTGGTTGGGCAGGAGCCTGTGCTGTTCTCGGGTTCTGTGAGGGACAACATTGCTTATGGGCTGCAGAGCTGCGAGGACGATAAGGTGATGGCAGCTGCCAGGGCCGCCCATGCAGTTGACTTCATAGAGGAAATGGAGCATGGAATGCATACAGGTATCTTTTCCAGACTGTAAGCCTGTCCTTTCAGTAAAGAGAAGACAGAACTTACTCTTGGCAGTGAGGATTGTGTCCCTATACCTGAATGTTTGCTGTCTCCCTGCCCTACCCTGGATTCCACCTCTCCTCCATCCCGAACACCATGACTTCTTCAGCCTCTGTCTGGTTGGGAGTCTTGTTCCCAGAGAGCAGTGCAGCATTAGTGCTCCCTCCACAGTCCCCCATCGAGTCTCCACCTATGGTCTGCCTCCCAGCAGGCCCTCTTATCTCCAGCTGGTCCAGTGGAAATACCCATTGTGCACTTATTGTGATCACTGTGTCTGAAGAAGGGAATTTCTCTGATTTCTTCAGATGTAGGGGAGAAAGGGAGCCAGCTGGCTGCAGGAGAGAAACAACGTTTGGCCATTGCCCGGGCCCTTGTGCGGGACCCACGGGTCCTCATTCTGGATGAGGCTACCAGTGCCCTGGATGTCCAGTGTGAGCAGGCTGTGAGTACCATGGGAGGGGAAGGTGACAACAGGGCCTGGGGAGGGGGCACGTTGGGAGGGTCAGCCTGTGTAGAATTGGTCAGGGGAACATGAATGGCTCACTAATGGAAAGAGAGTCTGTACCTTCTTGGGGTTGGGCAGTGGGGTGGAGGTTTTGGTGGTGTGGGGGTAACCCCAGTTTCCACTCCCATTAGGCTCCTGTGCTTGTCCTCCATCAGTGAGAGTACAGCTAAGAGAGAAGGGTAGTGTAGGCTTGTATCTACTACCCTTTCCAGCTTCTCTTGTTTCACACCTGTTTTACTCTAAGTCACAAAAGATGGTGCCCCATTGGGACGTGGTGTCCATCCTGTTCTTACCTTTCTGAGGCACTGTGATCCTTCCCCTTCAGCTGCAGGACTGGAGTTCCCATGGGGACCGCACGGTGCTGGTGATCGCGCACAGGCTGCAGACGGTACAGAGTGCCCACCAGGTCTTGGTGCTCCAGCATGGCGAGCTGCGGGAGCTTGCCCAGCTCCAGGAGGGGGAGGACCTCTATGCCCGCCTGGTGCAGCAGCGGCTGATGGACTGAGGCTCCAGGGACACTGGACCCTTCTCAGGGCCATCTCCAGGACCCAGAGCAGCTCCTGCTTTGGGTTTCCCTGGGCTGTGTTCCTGGGTAGTTGTTCCTGAGCTGGAGGTGTGGTAGAGATTTGGACCATGTGTGCTTTGATGGGGTGGGGACTGTCTGTGTTGTGGGACCTTATTTCCTTGGTAAATAGGGCTTTGCCTGATGCCGAGTAGTATCGTGTGGCATAATAAATATATTTTAAAATATCTTTATTATTGTATAAACAGCACACATCCATATTGAAAATTTAGACAATACAGAAAAGTTCAGAGAAGAAAAGTTAAAATTACCCATTTTTTCACTTCCCAGAGATAACCATGGTTACTGTGTTGTTGGCTGTCCCAGAATTTGTTTATCTGTTTTTTCAAGATGTAGATTTAACCAGTATGACATAAATATTCATGAAGTACCTTTTTGTATCCTTCCTCATTCCCACCAGTGTCTGATATTTTGGGGAAGCTAGGGTATGGAGGGACAGGTTAACAGTGTTAGTAATAACATTGCCAATAGCTACCATTTATAGAGTCTTAATATGAGTAGAAACTATACTGAATGTTTTTCATGTATTATCACTTTAACCCTTATCCCCAACCCTAAGAAGTTGGTTATTATCCCTATTTTACAGATGAAGAAACTGCGGCTCAAAGAGATTAAATGATGTTCCCAAGGGTACACAGTGGTGGAGTTGGTGTTTTAATCCAAACCTGACCCTAAGAGTTCACACTCTTTTGTATATTGTGTCCATAATCTTGAATCCATAATTGGATCTGGCAAAGCTCTGTGGCTTCTAGCTCTGCTCTGAATTGGTTACTTTTTCCCTAGTCCCACTGTTATAGCCTTCACTGTCTTAGATGATCTCATCTCTAGAGAAGTACCTCTACCACTCGTTCCCCTCTTCCAGACATCCCATGAAGTCATTTTTGTTTTTAGAAGACACAGGATGATGTCACTTCAGTAAAATCCTTCAAGTGGTCTTTATCCGCTTCTACTCGGATCCTTTCAGATCACACAGGCTTTCTAGCCCATCTCTCTCACCCTTTTGCCCTTTTCTGTTGCATTCAGCTCCAGCCACAACAAACTTCCTACCCTCCCCAATACCTTTGTGCCTTTGCATATGGTGTTTTCTTCCCCATTCCCTGCTCCACTGTCCCCTGATTTCAGGGTTCTTCAAGGTTTTATTCTGGGCCCAGGTCTTCCAGGAAGCCTTCCTTATGTCCTCAGTCTGGAGAAAGTGCCCTTTCCACAGGCTTTTATCACTCCTGGAGCTTATCTCTTTCAGAGCCTTTATTAAACTCTATCCCACTCCATTTGTCCTTCCACTAGACCATGAACACGGCAGGGGGTGGGGGAGGGAAGGTCATGCATCTTATTAAGCTCTATATCTCCTACCTGGCGCAGGGCCTGATCCTTAGTAGTTAATAAATAAAAAGTCTGTTTAATAAGAAATCTCTCCCCCACCATACTCATTCAGTCCTCCCTTACACATACCTACCACTGGAAATCCAACGTTGTACACATCACTGGTTGCTGGGAGGGACTTTTTTGGGAAGGTTGCTATTCTAGGAAAGAGAAACTTTCATATTCCTGGAAGCAGCAGGTACTTTCCCTGGCTAACAGTGGATTAGCCAGAACTGCTGTTCTGGATTTCATTTTGCCTGGCAGCTGTTGGGATAGGGGTGGTGGTGGAGGTGGGGTGGAGGGGGAAGAGTGGGGAGTTTCTTATGCAGATCTGCCCTTGCTTCTTCTGGACTGCCCTACTGCCCCACACCCATCCACCTCCCAAATTTCACAGAGGGTAAAACAGGCATTTGGAGAAGGCAGGCCTGATTCCTTCCTTTCCCCACCAAATACCCTTTCTCTGTTTCCAAAATAGGGATAATAATCCCTCCATCTTCTAGCCTTATGGAAGCTGTAACCCTCATGCAAGAAAATTATCAGATAAAAGTCTTTGAAATCCTCAGTACAATTACACCCATAGGTACTTCAGACCAGGAAGGCATCTCAAAAATAATGTAGCAGTCAAATCTTACTTTACAGGTAGAGAAACTGGCATGAAATCACACAGATAATCATAATATAGCTGTGAGAAAACCTTTTTATCTCGATGGGCAGCACAGGAATATGCAGTAGACCATAAGATCTTAAGATTCCAGAACATTTCTTTTCCTTTTTTTTTTTTTTTTGAGTTGGAGTCTCACTCTGTCCCCCAGACTGGAGTCGAAAATTTCTTATCCCAGGGGAAACTCCCAGATAAGCCTTATGTCAGGGACGCAGAAAAAATTTCCTGACAGTCAAGTATTCAACCCAGGCAAGTATGGTCTGTTTGGTAACCACAAACAGTTATTCAGGCTTGCCCCAGAGTTCTTTTCATTCACTTTTCCTACCCCAACACCACTTGACTACCTTGCCCTATAATTTCCTCTTCTTATCACTTACATTCAGTATCTTTCTCACCCAGCTATGTCTTACTTTCTCTAAAGGAAGATATGAGTGAGGAGGGGAAAGCTTAGGAAACTCATAGACGTCTTTGGACCCCCAGATAACCCCTTACTCCATCTGCCTTACCCTATGTAGAAACCATGTTGAATTTCAAGTACTTTATGCTCCTGCCCTGTGGGATAGCCACTTGGAGTCTATATGGCAAACTTCTGTGAAGCAGGAGGAGAAATGTGGAGTTGTCAGAATTTTGGACAGGTGGAAGGGAAAGGACTAAGAAATAAGGAAAACAAAGATCTTCCTTGTTATGGTGCTGAGTGAGCTAAAGGAGAACCTATTTGAGTCTGATGCCATTTAGTGGTTCTAGGAAACACCAGGATCTAAACTTAGAGTTTTATGGAATCTTATGAATTATTATAATTCTAATCGTAATAAGCACCCACTGGGTGCTTACTCTGTGCTATTTCTATGTTAAGTGCTGACATGTATCTTCTTACTTTATTGTAAAGATAATCCATTGTATCAGGTATTACTATCCCAGTTCTAAGAATGAGAACTTGGAGTTTTAGAAACATTTACTAACTTGCCTGGGTCACATAGCTAGGAAAAGGTGGACTTTGCCGAACTTTGCAAAAAGAAAAAACCAAAAACAAAAACCCCAAAAGACTCCTGGATTCCACGTATCTTCCTACTAGTCTCTTTTTTAAAGATACAATTTATTTACTTATTTAAATACACTATATTAATGGAGTTTAAAATTCAAAAGACACAAAAAATATACAGAGGAAAGTCTCACTCTCATTCTTCCCCATGGTTTGCTAATCCCTTGCATGGGAAATCCATGGTCCCAACTTTATTCCAAATTTAATGTATATTTATGAAAATATGTATACATGCATTGTTGCTTTTTGTTTTTACAAATAGTAGTTTCTTAAATCCACTATTCAGAACTTTATTTTTCTTAAATTAAAAATCTGTGGTTATGTAGTATTCTATTTTATGGAAATTTCATATTTCCTTCTCCTTTGTCTCCTTCTATTGATGGGGAATTAGGCTACTGGAAATCTTTTGCCATTGCTAGTCATCTTTTGTGTAGACATTGTAATGCACATGTGCACAAATATGAGTATAATAAAATCCTAAAGGGGTTTTATACTATATTAATTGTGAAGCAAGAGGAAAAAAATGCTGAGTCCAATATATAGATTATTAATATTGATAAATATTACAAAATTGTCTTCATAGAGGCTGTACTAATTTACAGTCTCAGGAGCAATATGTGAATTTATCTATTTCCCCACATTTTTTAAACCAACATAGAGTGTTGTTAATTTCTTAGATTTTGCCAATCTAATGAGTGACAGTAGTTGTCATTTGCTTTTAAAAAATATCACTTAGGGGCAACCCTTTTGGGTCTCCTCCCACTGTGGGAGTTTCTCTGTCCTCTCAATAAATCCTACTTTCTCACTTAAAAAAATAATAATAAGCCGGGCTCTGTGGCTCAGCCTGTAATCCCACGCCTTTGGGAGGCTGAGGTGAGTGAATTGCCTGAGCCCGCGGGTTCGAGACCCGCCTGGGCAGCAAGACCTCATCTCTACAATAAATCAAAATCAGCTGGGCGTGGTAGCGCATGCCTGTAATTCCAGCTACTCAGAAGGCTGAGGTGGAAGGATCACTGGAGCCCAGCAGGAGAGGCTGCGGTGGCCGGGAGCGGACACTGCACTCCAGTCTGGGCGACAGAGTGAGACTCCAACTCAAAAAAAAAATAAAAAAAATAAAAATAAATAAGAGAAAAAAATTAAAAAAATAAAATGATCACTGAAGTAATAAAGATACTGGACCCAGTAAGAAAAACTTGGATAAAGAAGCAAAGATGAGAAAAATTAACACATGTGTGCACAGAAACAAAAGTCACAAAAAAAATCTGTCTGGTAAATCAGAATGAGGAATGAAACATAGCTATAATTATAAAAATCACAAATAAAATTACTATTAAATTTAAAAATAAGGCACAACAGCCACAAATGACATGAGAATGAGGCAGAAAAAGTAAAAGCATTCTAAAATCTTTATCCTGTTTGAAATAAGAATAGAAATGTTGATTAATTTCAGATGCTACCAAGGTAGGCAGTCATATTAAAACATGTAGAACTAACTTTTAACTAATATAATTTAAAACTCTCAAACCAGTAGGGAGAAATTAAAGAATACTTTAAAAATTTAATCAATTTAATATAAGTGATGCAAGGAGAAAAAAAGAAGCAAAGTAAGAACATAGCAAATAGAAGACACAACAGAAACAACTCAAATACAGCTTAACAGTCACAAGTGTAAATAGCTTAAATTTGGAAATTAAAAGAGCTTCTCAGATTGGATTAAGACTATAACAAAATTCAGTTATATGCTCTTCACAAGATCACAAAGAAAACCTAAAGATTTGAAAAGGCTAAAATCAAAACCTAATATAAGACACACATATTTTATGTGCACATTTTTCAATGGTGCAGGTTTATAATAAAAACTGGGTCTAACAAATGCTTCCTGACTTCTGAAACTAATCATGAAAACACTTTCAAAAAGTGAACAAACTAATTACAGGTAGATGACACCAGTTCTTTGTTCCCTTAGTGTGGTGAACTTCGTGAAGCATTCACTTTGATAACTCCCGTTGTTTTTTTTTAGATATGTTTGTTTCTAGATCATGCATGCATGCTATTCTTTCTTTTTTTTCTCACCCTATTGCCCAGTCTGGAGTGCAGTGGCATGCTCATGGCCACCGTAGCGTAGACCTGCTCGGTTCAGGTGATCCTTCTACCTCAACCTTCCAAGTAGCTGGAACTATAGGCGCATGCTACCACGCCTGGCTTACTTTTTGATTTATTGTAGTTACGAGGTCTCACCAAGTTGCTCAGGCTGGTCTCGAACCCCTGAGCTTAGGCAATCCTTTTGCCTTGGCATCCCAAAGTGCTGGGATTACATGCTTGAGCCTCTGTGCTTGGCTTCATGCTATTCTTTCAAAGACAGCTGCCATCTGCTTTACAACTTTAGCCAAGAAGAACTGGTCTAAAAAAGTCTAATAGTCTCTAAATGCTTGGAAAGTCTCCCATCAGTGCAGGATGTCGTTACTAAACTCAATTTCATTAAGGTTGCTACTGTTACTCTAATACAGGTGGAAACCCAATTTCTTTTCTTTTTTAAATTAATGATTATTTTACTCTTATTATTTTATTATTATATCATTTTTTTAAACAATTCTATTCTTATGCTTAGTGTCAAAGCAGAATAAAATGAGATTTGTAGAAAGAGAATAAAATGAGATTTGCTAACTGAAAATTAGCATGTTCAAAATATCAAAATAAATAAAGACTAGAATGAAGAATCAGCATTCCCGAAAGAAATGGGGAGGTCAGATTTTTAAAAGAACACAAAATAGCGAGATGTTCTAACTAAAATTGGGAAACCCATTCTAATCATGTTTTTATAGTATCTGGATGTCTTTGATATTATATCTGGATTTTTGCAGCAGGGAAGGAAAAACTTTTAATCCTTCATTCAGAATTCTGCACCATACATGTCCTGTGTTTCATATCCTAAATTCTCCTGAGTATTCTTTTGTTTATTAATGGCACAATGATTTTGAAGAAGGTTCTTCATATACCTTCACGGGCAAAATTGAGGTATGTATCATCATACCACAGGAAGCTAAATATCTGACATTCCTCATAGGCCCAGGCTCAGGGGCCCTGTTACTGACTTGGGATGGCATCCCTTGGGACTACCCTTCTCAGGGCAATCTGGCTGGTACGAGACGAGCTGCTGTGATTGTCTCCTCTTCTCCTTTTTAATCTTCAGTGTCTCTGTCTAATTCAGATTTCTTTTACTTGATTCAGAAACTTTTGTTAAGGTCTTTCCTATCTTTCCTACTGTACAATAGAATGCCAGAACTGGTTCTCTATTTAACTGTAACTTTGTACCCGTTGACCAACCTTTCCCTATCTCTCCTCTTTTCCACTCTCCCTATCCCCTGGTAACCACCATTCTACTTGCAACTTCTATGAGATAATTTCTATAACTTTTTTCGATTCCACATATGAGTGAGATTATGCAGTATCTGTCTTTCTTACTTGGCTTATGTCACGTGACATCATGTCCAGGTTCAGCCATGTTGTTGCAAATGAAAGGATATCATTCTTTTTTATGACTGACTAGTATTCTGTGTTGTGTATATGTCACATTTTCTTTTTATTTCTTATTTTTTTGAGTCGAAGTCTCACTCTGTTGCTCAGGCTGGAGTGCAGTGGCACGATCATGGCTCACTGTAACATCAACCTCCTGGGCTCAGATGATCCTTCTTCCTCAGTCTCCTGAGTAACTGGGACTACAGGCAAGTGTCAACATGCCTGGCTAATTTTTGGATTTTTTTAGTAGAGATGAGGTCTTGCTATGTTGCTCAGGCTGGTCTTAAACTCCTAGGCTCAAGCAATCTTCCTGCTTAGGCTTATCCCAAAGTGCTGAAATTATAGGCATGAGTCACCATGCCTGGCCTCTTTTGTTATCAATAATGTATATTTAAAAATAACTAGAAGGAAGGATTTTGAATGTTTTCATCACAAAAAAATGACAAGTGTTTGAGGTAATGGATATGCTATTACCCTGATTTGTTCATTACATATTGTATATACGTATCAAAACATCACACTGTATCTCATAAATATGTGCAATTATTATGTGTCAAGTAAAAACATAAGACAAGAAAGTATCTTTTCTTTAGTGTTACTTTTCTATCAGGTGAGAGTCCCATTTTTTTTTTCATTTTTTCACTTTCAAAATTCTCAAAAGACTGTTTATCTGCTGCCTTCATTTCCTCATTTTCAATTCACTCTACTTTTTTTGAAATATGGTTTCTACTGTTAACATTCTGCTGTCCTATTGAAGGTTATCGGTGCCTCACTCATTATAAAACACAGTAATTCTTTCTTATGCTATATCCTGGTCAACATTTTTGCAGCATTTTATTCTTTTGAGAATGTGTTCTCTATGTTTTTTTTTTCTTTTGTGGTCCTCTTGGCCTATAGGAAATTGTACTCTCCAAATATTCTCTATTTCCTCTTTGATAATCCCTTCACTACCTCCTCTTAAGGCAGATGCTTCAGAATGCTGTCCACTTCCTTCTTAATTTACATACTCATTGGCAATGTCCACATTGCCAATAGGAAGGGAGAACTTTTGGTCAGAACAGGACAGGGACAATGCTAAGTGAGGATAGCAGGTTACATGATGTACAGCCTGCCTAGTTCTTCTAGGGCTCCATACTATGTAGAATAATATTTTTCTTATTCTCTCAGTCCATTTTCCACGTACCTAAATTACTGTCAGTGATCCTGCAGGCAAATAATTCTTGAGTGGAATAATAACTTTATAAAAGTATTCTACCCAGTACCTAGTGATGTAAAACTCTTCTATCTTGATTGGTTAAGGAGTTTCCAATCTGGGGGAAGTCAGAAAAATATCTATTTATACTCCTAATGAATATTTTCTGACTGAGTTGTGTAAGGGCAAAGTCCATTCTGAAGAGGCTGGCAATTTCACTATCTTATCTTTTTTCTTTCCAGAATGGGTTCTGGATGGGTCCCCTGGGTGGTGGCTCTGTTAGTGAATTTCATCATGCTGAATTCCTCCATGACTCAAGGCACAGACATTCCAGGTAAGAATACAGCAGTTTTTGGGGTGTATATGCAAAAATTTGACTGGGAGAGGGAAGCCTTTTCTGATAGGTCTAGGCCACTGACTAGACTGGAAGTGACTTCAGGCTTCAAAGAGCAGTGCTTTTCCTTTTGGCAGAGAGATTCTCCTTCTTTACCCTGTGCAATGGACTTCTGAGAAAAGAAACTTCTTGTACTAGAACCAAGAATAGGGAGGCAGGAAAAAAGAAACATTTTGTCTTTTTAAAGTTCTTACTATATCAACGCCAGTTAGGAGAACTGTAAAAGCTGGAGGCAGTCTGAGAAAAGCTGCCATTCTTTGGCTAGTTTACTCTGATGACGATGACTGTTTCTGTATTTATCCAGTGGGGGTATATATGGAAAAAATGAAATTGAAAACAAAGATTGCTTTTTCTGTCATTTGTTGAGCCCCTATTATATGGTCAGAATTGTACTAAGCAGTTTTGAGAAGTAAGAGAAATTGAATACATCATCCTTGTCTTCATGTTGTGGAGTACAAGTGATTTCTCAGTGTGATTTTTCTAGCTGAGGTGGCAGGCTATACAAACACAAAGCAATGTGAGACCTTGAAAGCACATCTTCATGAGCAGAAAACAGGAAGTTATGTGCTAAGAACAGAGCTCCCTTTGCATGTCAAAGTTTCACTAATACAAAAGAGGAACAAATCTCCGTGTGTGTGTGTGTGTGTGTGTGTGTGTGTGTGTGTTGGGGGTGGTGGTGGTGGTGGTGGTGATGGTGGTGGATCATCATTCTTAATGAAAGCCACTCGGTGGCTCAGCCTGTAATCCCGCGCCTTTGGGAGGCTGAGGTAAGTGGATTGCCCGAGCCCGTGGGTTCGAGACCCGCCTGGGCAACTTGGTGAGACCTCGTCTCTACAATAAATCAAAAATCAGCCGTGCGTGGTAGTGCACGCCTGTAGTTCCAGCTACTTGGAAGGCTGAGGTGGAAGGATCGCCTGAGCCCAGCAGGTCGAGGCTGCGGTGGCCAGGAGCATGCCACTGCACTCCAGTCTGGGTGACAGAGTGAGACTCTAACTCAAAAAAAAAAAAAAAAAAGAAAGCCACTGACTTTATACTGTCCATTAATCAACACAATTGAAAAAAAAAATCAGCATAGATTTTAAATGATGGTGAAAAAATTTCTCTCTGATTTAGACTGTAAGAGGAAAGTGAAAAGACTATAAATGCTGAGGAATTGATGGTCGGAGCCTCACCTGAAATTAGCTACAGAATGAGAGATGAGCTTGGTTGACCCAGAAGGATTGTCCCTCTGGCTCAGCTCTGTAGTTCCTAGCGGAGGCCTCTGAACATAGGAATGAAAATAAAATTACAACTCAAGGTCAACAGCAATTATCCCTCAAGTCTTAAATGCTATGTTTTCAACGAAGTCTTTCCTGACCTACCTGCATTATTGATCCTATTTGAATTTCCTTTTATTGTAATTGTTTTTCTCAAGTGCATAAAATTGAGTTAGTCCCATCCAATGAGTTCACAGCACATTGTAATCATCAGTCAGTTCAAGGACTGTCTTCTGTCTTCCCTTGTCTCCATTCTCACTCTCTCTCTTCCCTAGATAATCTATTCTAAATGTGTCTGATATATCTTTAAGTATGAGGGTGTCCTTTCAAAAGGTGTAGCATTGTTTTTCTGTGTGTATTTTAAAAATTTATAAATGTCAAGTGTGTTGAATCACATTCTGTTTCTTCTTGCTTAACATTATGCTTTTGAACATACTGAAGCCTATAGGCCTCCTTTCAAATCCATGTGGTCTGACGTAATTTACCAGGTAAGGGTTTTCCCAGAGGTGCAGGCTGATTCATGGTCCTTTTTTGTTTTTCTAGAAGATTTTGTGATTCAGGCAAAGGCTGACTGTTACTTCACCAATGGGACAGAAAAGGTGCGGTTTGTGGTCAGATTCATCTTTAACTTGGAGGAGTATGCACATTTCGACAGCGATGTGGGGATGTTTGTGGCACTGACGAGGTTAGGGCAGCCCGATGCTGAGCAGTGGAACCGTCGTCCGGATATATTGGCGAGGAGCAGAGCGTCTGTGGATGCGCTCTGCAGATATAACTACAGGCTGGGGGCCCCCTTCACTGTGGAGAGAAAAGGTGAGTTGGGAAGTGGTTCTGGTGGGGCTCAGGAATATTACCTGTATGAATCTGCTAATGGCTTTTTTTCCTTAAGATAAACAATTTTCTGCTTCAGCCTAAATAAATCATGATTAGGAGAGTCTACACCCAACTGTGACTCATTTATTATCCTCATAGGTTACTATGGTCTTGGTCCCAGACCCCCAAGGTTCTCAGGGGCTTTGAGGACTAGTGTACTCTCAAATAGAAGTGGTAATTGTGGGAGTACCTCATAAAGTGTAAATCATTCTTGCAGACATTGACATACTTTGTTTCTGATCTCAGAGGCTGAGATTTCCCTACATGTCCAGTTTATACTTGGGTGATCTGGGAAGGAGATTAGGGGTAGTGGTCCTCCCTAAAGGAGCTCCTGTCTTGGCGTGGTGGCTTTCCTTCACAGTGTCTCACTTTTCTCTCCTTTTCTAGTGCAACCAGAGGTGACAGTGTACCCAGAGAGAACCCCATTTCTGCAGCAGCACAACCTGCTGCTCTGCTCTGTGACCGGCTTCTATCCAGGGGACATCAAGATCAGGTGGTTCCGGAATGGGCAGGAGGAGAGAACTGGGATCATGTCCACTGACCTTATCAGGAATGGAGACTGGACCTTTCAGACTATGGTGATGCTAGAAATGATTCCTGAACTTGGAGATGTCTACACTTGCCTTGTTGATCACCCCAGCCTGCTGAGCCCTGTGTCTGTGGAGTGGAGTGAGAATTGGTTTCTTGTACTCTCTGGGCCCGCCTCAGGATCATACTGACTCAATACAGAACCTGTGTCATGTCTACATTCATCTTTCTCTTGGTCTGGGAGAGTCACAGAAACCAGAGTCCTTGGGTTAGGGTGGGAGAAAGCATGGCAGATATCTATCCTCATATTTTCCAAGAAATAAGGAGGTTTAATCACCTCATTAGATGCTTCCAACCCTGTGAACTAGTATCCTCTAATACTCTGGTCTTAGTATTTCAGGAACTTTCTTATGGGCTGTAAGAATTGGTAAGGATTAGGTGACAACTCTGTGGGTGCAGAGCTTGGCCATTTCTAGATTTATTTTTTCTATAGGTAGCCTTGGATTTGGTGTCCAATACAGACTCTGAAATTTCAAGAAGATGCATAAATATTGGGAGCTTTTTACTAACTTTAAGACCTGTTTCCCATAGGAGCTCAGTCCGAATATTCTTGGAGAAAGCTGCTGAGTGGAGTTGCAGCCTTCCTACTTGGGCTAATCTTCTTTCTGGTGGGGATTGTCATCCACCTCAGGGCTCGGAAAGGTAATGAGCCTCTGAGGAGTTCCCTGCTGCGTGTCCCTTGGCTTCGCCCCTTCCCTAACATCAAAGATCTAAGGCAAGGAAAGTTGATTGTACTTCTCAGGGATCACTAAGTAATCTTTTCTGAAGCGAGAAATATTCTGGGGGGTAAGCAGAGATGGAGTTCTGACATTACCAGCTATCCCCCATCTCTTAGGATGATCACATTTGGTCCTAATTGGATCAATCCATTTTTCTCTTCATTTATTTCCAGGATATATGGATACTCAGCAGTCTGGTGATGAGGTAATATATATTCTTCCTTGTCTGTGGGTGGTAGATCATTCTGATAGTTGTTTGGCCAGAGGGAGACACCTTGGGTTAGGTAGGGTTGACTCTGATGGGTGGTACTGTCCCCTGAATCCCTGGAATGGTAGAGTGGGGTTGCCTCTTGATACCTTCATCATTGTTTTTGCAGGTCCCTAGAACTGTCATGCCCTGGCAGCCATGCTAACGTCCTCACTGAAGCTTCTCCTCCTGGAGCCTGATTTAGTTCTCAGTGGCCTGGGTCTTAGGCAAGGCAAAGGGCATCCATGAGGTCAATATTCTTTCCGTGGTCCTTGAAGTAGTCTGAACTAATTCTAGAGATTTGTGTTTTGAGATCACGCACCTTCCACCCATCTTTCCTTCTTTCTTCTACTTGTACACGTCATTAATCAGTATTACCGAGGACACTGTCCAGAAACTCCCCTAAGACATAATTCCTTCTAGTCCCAAATCATTTACTTTTCTATGCTCCAGCCCTGGTTCAATAAGTCACAATTCTCAAAGCTTTCTCTCTTCCAGTTGCAGTCTTTACAGCCTTCAGAAGATGATGTTCAGATAGTCATTGCTTCCTTTTCACTGTTTTAAAAATCTTTTTTATTGTAAAATAAAACAAGCTACAGAGAGCCACATAAAATGTATAATTTAATGAATTATTTGAGGCAAAACTCCAGCAATCACCACTCCAGTTAAGAAAGAGAACTTTGCTAACTCTAGCAGATGTATCCTGATGCCTTAGGTCAATCAAAACCTTTACTTCCTCTCAATATTCTGACTTTTATGGAAACCCCCTTTTTGCACTTCTTTGTAGTCTGTTCACCCAGGTGTGCATTCCTGGACACCCTAGCTTAGTTGTCTTTTATACTTCACAAGTTTCTCCCCATCCTTTATGATTAATTTGTTGAAAAACCCAAGCTATATAACCATATGGTATGGCAAGTTAGTTATTTGACCTGCAGAGTTTCCCACGCTCTGGATTTTGCTGATTACCTACACATGGTGCAGTTGAACATGTCTCCTGTCCTTTGTACCTCATGCAAATTGACATCTGAATTCAGAGGCTAATTCAGATTTTGGTTCGATCCTTTTGGAAAATCTGTAGATGGTGCGATGATGTTTCACCATGAGGTGCATAATATCTGCTTGTTTCTCTTTTTGTGATGTTAGCAACCATTGAAACTACCTGCCTAGGTGTGTACATTTATTGAGGATTAAAAAATGATGATATTCTAATTCTAAAATTTTTTTCATTTTCTTCATTTGTATTCGTTATTACTTCTATAAAGAGATACCTCCCTTCATTTATTAGTGAGTTATTCAGTGGTGCAGTGGAAAGGCAAGACCAGTGTTTGATTCTTCTTTTATTTACTAGTTTTCAAGTTAATAAACCAGGTGACTAATTAGGTTTTGCTTCATTTTAAAAATCATTATAAACTGAAATATTTACGTATATTTGTTAGGTTTTAATCTACTGCAATTTTTCTTTGTGGAAGCTCATGTTTTATTTCTGGTGGCCACTTGAGAAAGTTTCCACTCACCAAAAATGAAACTGAGTTCTTTTGACACAAGCCTTCTGACAGTTCCTGTGTTATCTGGTATGGCAAGATGTTTCTGGTTCATCTTGTACATCTCCTTCCCAGACCTGGAAGTACCCTAAAAGTGACAGCAGGGGAATTCCCTTAAAGGAGTGCCCCAAACCATTCTGAGATGCGGCCAGTGAAATTCCGAAGAAAGAAGCACTAAATGCCTGGGTGATCAGTCCAAAACACTTATTAGGGGAACTTACTTATAGAGTGCTGCAGCAGTGCTCACCATGGACTTGGCGAAATGGGCATGGAAATGGGTCTTCCTAGGTATGTCTGCATCGGTGGGGCCAGGGTATAGAGTTTATATGCGAGTTTAAGGGATTGGCTCAAGGCTGGGACCAAGTTTCTTTCAATGTTTTGGGACAACTCAGAACAACTTTATCAGTGCCTGGGAATGTTCAAGGCCTGGTTTCGTTCAAACCTGCCCAGAAAAACCTGCAGCTGGTTGAGTCACAGAATGGCCAAGGAATTTTCCTGTCAGGATACAGAAAGAAAGTTGGGGGTGAGGAGGTTGGGGACCCTATGTAGGAACTGGGAATTGCGTCAGGCCTTTCCAGTGAAAATATAATGATCATATATGCATATATTAAAAAATCAGTCTCTTTATATGTCTTCATCTCCTTTCTTTTACACCAAGAATTCTGGTTTTCAAAGACACAGAGACACACAATTTAGATGTCCAGATTTGTGTACTTGCTTTTCCCAAATTAACATGTACAGCAGTCTAAGGATTACAACACTCATACTACAACCACCAAAAGGGTTACTGAAAACAGTTGAGATTTCTTTTGCCTTTGTTTTCCCCACCATCTCCCCTTTTATAGTTGTACTATTTCTTTCTTTTCTTTTCTTTTCTTTTTTAGTTGGAGCCTCACTCTGTTGCCCAGGCTAGAGTGCAGTGTCCTGCTTATGGCCACCACAGCCTCAACTTGTTAGGCTCTGGTGATCCTTCTGCCTCAACCTTTCAAGTAGCTGGAACTACAGGCATGTGCCACCATGCCCAGCTGCTTTTTTTTATTTATCGCAGAGACTAAGTCTCGCTAAGTTGCCCAGGTTGGTCTTGAACCCATGGGCTCAGGTAATCCTCTTGCCTTCACCTCCCAAAGTGCTGGGATTATGGGTGTGAGCCACCGTGTCTGGCTAATAAAAGATCCATTTAAAGATAGACCAGTGAATTTTAACATGACAGAATATAAAAATTTAATTGTTTATAAAAGTTATGTTAGTTGTAGTGCAAAAAAAGGTTTTACATTACAACTAACCTATAAGAATCTAAAATTTGTTGAATTTTGGTCTCTTATTAAAGAAAAGTATCTATAATAGATGACAATTTTGCTCCTACTTAAATTTTCCTCTTTTCCCCAACTATATATCTGAGTAAGATCAGATTTTCTTCATGTACTTCAGTCAAAACAATGTATTGTTACAGATTGAATGTTGAAGAACACATAGCCAAGCTATCTTTTTCACTATTTTTCTGTGCTAGAAAATACAGCTATTTCCCACAAATGTTGCTTATGTTAACTTATGGGTTTATCACTGTTATTTAAAAACAAGCAAATAATTATTAATGTCACTTGGCATAACTCCTGTAAACTAAAGCTCCTTGGAGCTCTCAACAAGTTTTAAGAACTTTTAGATGAAGGCATAGTCCAGGATTGTTTCATTTAACTTCACAAAGCTCCCTCTTCTATTGTTTTAGCATTGTGCTAAAAAATATGTCAGCTTGCTTTTTGAGAGTCCTTGACTCTGTTTCCATCCCCCACTTTGAACTTCTTTTCCTTTGTCTCTTTGTCTCTGCCTGACTCCATTTTTATTCTACTTCCCTCCAGTTTTTTTCTCAGCGAAAGGCCTTGGAAAGATGCCTAGTTGGTCAGTGTAGAGGGTTCTTAGAAATGAGACTGCCTTTTTTCCGTCTAATCTTATCAAGACTCCTTGTGTTTAATTGCTGATGGACTGGAAAGACTCCTCCTGGTTTTATCTGCTGTGCTCTTGCTGGTCTGCTGTGTTTTTCACTGAGGATTTGTTGGCCCTACAGGTCTGTCACATGCCTAGTTGCTTTCCTCCACCTTCTCCAGCAGAGACACTTACACTAGGCAGTTCTTGTAACTGCTAGTTGTTTGTCCCCATTTGAGGTTCATGGGGATACCATGTCACTTAGTTTTATTAAAAATGTTAGCCGGGCGCGGTGCCTCATGCCTACAATCCCAGCATTTTGGGAGGCTGAGATAAGAGGATTGCCTGAGCCCATGGGTTAGAGACTAGCCCAGGCAACTTTGCGAGATCTTGTCTCTACAATAAATAAATAAATAAAAAAAATCAGCCGGACATGGTGGAGTGCACTTGCGTTTCCAGTTACCTGGAAGGCTGAGGAGGAAGAATCACCTGAGCCCAGCAAGTTGAGGCTGCGGTGGCCGTGACTGTGCCACTGCACTCCAGCCTAGTATCAGAGTGAGACTCCTACTCAAAAAAAAAAGTTGTTAAAACTATGTCTTACTAAATTAAACTTTTTATTTTGATATAATTGGAGATGCACACACACTAATAAGCAATAGTACAGAGAGATTCCACATATTTTAAATTGTTTTCCTTAATGATAACATCTTGTAAACTATAGTAAATTTCCACAATCTGGATATTGACATTGATAAAGCCAAGAGAAAGAACATTTCCATCACCACAGTACCCTCAACTTGTCCTTTTGTTGCCACATCTACTTCCCTCCCATTTCCACTCCTTTCCCCTGGCAACCATTAAACATTTTGCCATTTAAAAAATGTTATATAAATGGAATAATATAGTATATGATCTTTTGGGATATTTTCCTCACTCAGCATAAGTCCCTAGAGATTCATCTGGGTTGTGGCGCATATCTCAAGTTTGTTCCATTTTATTGCTAAGCAGTATTCTGTGGTATGGATGCATCACAGTTTGTTTCCAGTTTTTGTCTGTTATGAATAAAACTGCTATAAACATGTATGTACAGATTGTTCTGTGAACACAAGTCTTCCTTTCTCTGGGATAAATGCTCAGGAGTGTAATTGCTAGGTTGCATGCTTAGTTTTTTTAAAAAAACTACCAAACTGCTTTTCAGAAAGTCTGCACCATTTTCTTTTGACATTCCCACCAGCCGTGTGAGTGATATGGTTTCTTTTCATCTTCACTAGCATTTGGTTCCTGTTTTTTATTTTAACCATTATGTGTAGTGATGTCTCATGGTGGTTTTAATTTGCAGTTCTCTACTGGCTAATGATGCTGTGTATCTTTTCATGTCCTTATTTGGTATCTATGTATCCTTTTTGGTGAAATGTCTTTTTGCTCACTTTTTTAAAATAGGATTTTTTTTTTACTGTTGAATTTTGTGAGTTTTAAAAAAACCTATAGCTAGATACTAGTCTTTTGTCAGATATGTGGTTTGCAAATATTTTCTCCCAGTCTTTGTAGCTTGCCTTTTAATTCTTTCAAGAGGGTCTTTTGCAGAGCAAAAATTTTTTTAATTTTGATGAAATCCAGTTTACTAATTTTTCCTTTTGTGCATCATGGCTTTGGTGTCAAGTCTAAGAACTTTTTGCTTAATCCTAGATCCTTGAGATTTTCTCCTAATAGTTTTATGGATTTATGTTTTATATGTCAGTCTGTGATCCATTTTTATTTCTTCCTTTGAGATCTGCATGCCTTTTACTTACTTTTCTTGCCCATTGCACTGGCTAGAACTTCCAAAACTATGTGGAATAAATGAGGTGAGAGCAGACCTCCTCACCTTGTTTCCGGTCCTTGGGGGAATTCAGTTTCTCACCGCTAAGTATGTTAGCTGTAAGATTTTTTTTATCAAGGTAAAGAAGTTCCCCTCTATTTCGATTTTTCTGAGTATTTCATCATAAGTGGCTATTGAATGATGTATTCTAGTACCCATATATGTACATCATTAACTTGGATTACACTTTCTTTTACAGCTGACTTTTCTACCAATAGTCAAATGAGCTGTATTCTTTCAATTTAATGCTGACATAAACTTTGAATATGGATC